ATTTTTTAAATTCTTTATATGTTTTAGACAGAAGTCCTTTGTCTGAGGGACAGTTCACTAAGATTTTTTCCCAGTTTGTGGGTTTTCTTTTCACTATGCTGGTGATTTCTTTTGACATGCAGAAACATTTTAATAAGACCTGATCCCAGTTATTGATTCTGGGAAGTATTTCCCATGTGGTTTGATTCCTGTTCATTAATTTTCTACCTACCCTATGCCTTCAAGGTTTTTACCCAATTTCTTTTCCGATAGATTTCTAGTATTTCTGTTTTAATATGCAGATCTTTGATCCATTTAGATTTTAATTTAGTAAATGGTGATAGGCATGGGTCTAGTTTTAGTTTTTGGCATATGGAGAGCCAGTTTTTCCAACACAATGTATTAAAGAGACTATCATTCTTCCAGTGAACCTGTTTGGCCCCTTTATCAACGATAAGGTGGTTGAGTATATTTGTAGTTTTGGTTGTATCTTCTAATCTATTCCGTTGATCTTTGGCTCTGTTTTTATTCCAGTACCATGTTGATTTTACTATAGTTACTTGGTTGTATAACTTCAAGTCAAGGATTGTGATGCCTCCTGCCATTGATGCTTAGAACTGTCTTTGCTATTCTAGGTCTCTTCTGGTTCCAGATGGATTTTAGGAGTGATTTCTGTAGATCCATGAGGTATATTGATGGTATTTTTATTGGGATTGCATTGAGTAGCAATTTTGGGAGAACGGCCATTTTCACAAAATTTATTCTTCCTATCTATGAGCAGGGGATGTCTTTCCATATTCTGAGATTCTCTTCAATTTCTTTATTCAGTGTATTACAGTTTTCCCTATATAGATCTTTCACTTCCTTTGAGAGAATAATTCTTAAATATTTCATTTTTTTTGGTTGCTAGTGTGAAGGGTGTGGCTTCTCTAATTTCTTTCTCTGTGATTTTGTTGGTATTGTATAAGAATGCTATTGATTTTGAGTACTGATTATGTATCCAGCTACATTGCTGAATTTATTTATTATATCTAGGAGTCTTTCAATGGAATTTTGAAAGTCTTCTATTTAGAGCATCATGTCATCTACAAATAATGGTAATTTAACTACTTTTTTTTTCCTATCTTTACCTTTTTTTTTCTGTCTCTTGTCTAATTGCTCTGGCTAGTATTTCCAGTACTATATTAAATAGGAGCTGTGATTTGTGCCTGACTTTAAGGAGCTGTGATTTGTGCCTGACTTTAATGTCATTAAAGTCAGGCACAAATCACAGCTGATTTAACTCTATTATCTCTTTGCTTATTTTCTGTTTGGTTGATCTGTCCCTTGGTGTCTATGTTTTGGTAAGGTCTCGTGTTATAATTGTGTTATTGCTAATTCGATTTTTGATTTCTATTAATATTTGCTTTGTATAACTGGGTGCTATGGAATTAGGTACATATGTATTTAAGATTGTTATCTCTTCCTCTTGAAGTTTTCCCCTAACCAGTATGTAGTGACCTTCTTTATCTCTTAGGCTCATTCTTTATTTGAACCTCACATTGCCTGCAAACAGAATAGCTACCCCTGCTTTTTTGGGGGGTTCCTGTTGCACGCAGTATTATTTTCCATCTTTTGAATTTCAGTCTGTGAGTTTCCTTTTGGGTTACATGGGTTTCTTGTAGACAACATATGGCTGGATGTTGTTTTTTGATCCATTCTACCAGTCTGCTTCTTTTAATTGGTGAATTGAGACCATTTACATTAATGGTTATAATTGTTATATATTGGTTTATTGTTGACGTGTCATCTTTCTGCTGTTGCATCTTTACCTTTCCATTCTGTTTAATTGTCTTCCTTGCTTAGTGTTTTTTTCCTGTGTTTATCTAAACTGTCTTTCAGTATTCTTTGCAGGATTTGCTTGGTGATCATGAAGTTCTTCAATGTTCCTTGTCATGGATGTATCTTATTTCCCCATCCATTTTGAAGGCCAGTTTTCCAGAGTACATCAGTCTAGGCTGGAAATCATTTTCCTTCAGGATCTGAAATACTTTACTTCATGCTCTTCTTGACTTCATTGTTTGTGTTGAGAAGTTTTCTGTGATTCTGATACATTTTCCTTTATAGGTGATCTGTCTCTTCTCTCTAACCACTTTTAATATTCTGTTCTTAAGTTGAATTTCTGGGATGTGATTTTTATATGTCTGGGTGTAGTTTTATTTTGATTATGGCTATTTGGAGTTCTATATGCTTCACTGATCCTGATATCAATTTCCATTCTCATGTTTGGGAAATTTTTAGGTACTACTTCCCTAAATATTCTCTTGACATCCTTAATGTTGTCCCCTTATTTTTCATTAATCCCTATCAATTTTATGTTATTTTTCTTTGCATCATCTTCCAGCTGTTGAATTGTTATTTCCTGTTTCCTTGTTATTTTTAAAAGATCTTTCCTTTCCTGTTTACTAGCTGTAATCTTGTCTTTAAGGTCTGAAATTCTATCTTCACTTTCATTGAGGCAGTTTTTACAACTTTCAATGGAGGTTTTGATTTCCTGTATATCTCTTTGCATCTGCCTTATGTATTCTGTTTGTTTCTTATATTGTTCATCCAGTGATTCTATCTTTTTGTTTAGTTCCTCCAATTTTTAAACTGTGTCTTCTTTAGATATGTTCAGCATCTCTTTCATTTCTTTTATCATTTCTTCTTTTGCCTGGGAGGTTATTTTACGTTTGAATTCCTTTAAAGCTTCCCGTAGTTGCTTCTTTATTTCAGTTGCTATTATTTCAGATATATGGCATATATTTTCTTCTATGTACATAGCTCCTAAGGTTTCTTAGGATGGGCTGGAAGTTTGAGATTGTATTTTGGTCTTTCATTTTGTCATTTTCTTGTATTTCTGTTTTTCAAGTGTTATTCCAAGGTTTCTTCTGGGCCTGTTGGAAATCCTTTTCTTTGCCCTCAGCCCTGAGACTCTGGATGCCCAGATCCCTGAACTGAGAGAGGGTCACTGTTGGTGGGGCTGGGAGTCCCAAGCCCTGGGGTTCTGGTCCAGTGTGGCGGGAAGCTGTGAAGTTCTTTGGCTGGTGGGAGAAATGATCTCAAACTCCCGGGGCTTGAGATGGTGTGGGGACACTCACCCCAGGCTGCCCACTCTCCAGAGTTGAGGGCTCAGACAGGCCCTATTCCCCAGAGCCAGCCAAGCACAGCAAAAGCCTCTGTGTTCATTTTTCATACACAATTTTAAAACACTGTAAATGTGAACAAAATTGATAAAAATGTGTGTGTGATATTTTTCCATAGTATAAAGATCTTCATTCTTGTTTTTTAAGAAGTACAAATAAAATGTTTTAGATGGACCTCACATTAGAACTATTCATGGTAGTATTTATCTTTAGATCTAATATCTTTGAATGGGAACTAGATTTTAAGCAATCTATGGCTCACAGAATACTATGCACTGCTGTGGGAAATGTAAATTGCTTAGCAGAGACAGAGGAGAGAACTGTGGTTGCCTCTTTAGTCAATGCCATAGCATTGTCCTTCATGGACCTGAATGAGCTCATGTGTCCTTCATACATCATAGGCACAAGAGCTTTTGCAGCATAGCTTTGATGACAGAGGAGTACTATAACTTTCTGACCACTGATATTATTTGTGTGTCTCCTACTCACACTAGATCTATTCATCCATTTGAATAAATTTTGGGGGCCAACCTTGCAAAGACTGTGAAGGGGCCCACAGCCTAGTTTTAGTGCTCAGTGTTTCCTGTCCAAACACTTTTCAAGGTTGCAGTAGCTGCCATCTACTGCTGCTATGGTTCACCCTTTGGTTTTCACATTTAATGAGAAATGATATCATGTTTTGTCAAGGAAATCTTATTCCTGGTGAAAAGGATGTGAATATAAACATTTTCATTGTCCTATTTTCTATGTAGTTGTTTGTGGGAATGTGGAAGGCTCTCACCAGGCCATGCTGAGTGGGTGCTAATTCCAAGGTTCTAGGGTAGGAAAACCTTCTGCCTCGCTGACATCCAGCCTCTAGCTTCCACACAGACAAAAGCAGGCTGTGGAGCGAGGAAGAGCATGAATTGGCTGAGCTTGTTTTTGTGTTGGTCCACTTAATCTCTGGTGTAGATATTCCTCTGATAGAAATGGTCTGCTGGTCAGGCAGCGCTCAGAATGAACAATGCAGAGAAAGAGAAAAAGGCCATAATCACAACTTTCAGAGCTCAAATCTAGACCTTCAGGCTTTATTCAAGCGAAGCAAAAGAAGTTTGCACAAATAAAATGATTGTCATGTTTTATCAAGTGTGTAGCAGATGAAGGCGACTCTACTGCACCCTTGGGAAAGCCTGGTTTCAACAGATATGTGGAGTCAGGGCCAAACAGAAGGAAGTATTCTGGCTGCCCCAGTTTCTGGATTTCATAGAAAAGATTGTCCTGGCTGGGAGCTGAAGCTATGTGTTCAGATTCCAAGCCATTCTCTTTTGAATAATAGAAGAACTGCTTTAAAAATCAAAGAGGAGGACGTGGTCTGGTGGTATCCAGTGTGACATATAGAAGAGCTGTGTAATGTGAAATGCTCCTGAATCCCATCCACATTTCCACATCAGAAATGTGTGGGTGGTTTTTCAGTGCAGGAAACCATCTTAAATAACTACTCTTTCTCAGAAAAGAGTTGCTATTTGATGTAAAACATGAAAATGTATATGCATCCCACATGTACTCACTAACTGAAGTGCACCAAATGTTTCTTAGATGTTTAATTTAACTGAAGTACAAGATTTTTCTTTTCAGTAGGCCACATAACAAGTGGCTGTGTTTTGAATATTCCTTTTATCCCAATTGTGAGTCCACAAGATGGCAGTGTCTTCTCAGTGACCCTGAAGAGAGTTGTCATGTGATGTGATGTGATGTGATGTGTGTGTGTGTGTGTGTGTGTGTTAGTGTGTCTGCGTGTATGTGTGTGTGTGTAGGGGGATGGGAGAAAGAGACACACAGGGAGGGGCTTGTTGCTATTGCAGGGGTAGTGAAAAGAGCCTCATGTTTTCTATTGTGAGAATAGACTCTTTTCCTGAACTGGAAGTGACTTATGAGGTCTCATTTGTTTTATGATTTAAAATCTGAATCCTTGGTGAACCAGGGAGGAAGAATGATGAATTATTTCAGTGGTTTGCTAGTGATCCTGTGGCTTCAGTGTATCTGTGAGTTCTGACATTTCTATGGGAATATAATGGGCCATGTGTGAAATAGTATCTCTTCCAAAAATGTTACCTCTTCCAAATGTTACCTCTTCCAAAAATGTTACCAAAAATTTTACCTTCTGAAAAAGGGAGACTGGGGAAGCACTGACAGATAAATTTTATTCTAGAGAGGAAGCATCACTTCCCAATGGATCGTTTTTGCCTGTTGTCTTTGTGCACAGGGGTGAGCAGCCAGCAGAAGGAGGTGGAGCAGAGTCCTGAGACCCTCAGTGTTCCAGAGGGAGACACAGCGTCTTTAAACTGCACTTTCAGGAACAGCGCTTCTACCAACTTCAGATGGTACCGACAGTACCCTGGGAAACGCCCTGAGCTGCTGATATCCATATTCTCCGATGGTGACCAAGAAGAAGGAAGATTCAAAGCACAGCTCAGCAGAGCCAACCGACGTGTTTCCCTGCACATCGGGGCCTCCCTGTCCCTTGACTCAGCCACCTACTTCTGCGCAGTGAGCACACACTGCTCCCCAGGCACCTGCTGCCTGCACTCAAACCACAGAGGCTCAGGCAGACCTGAGGCAGAGTGGGGATCACGGGCAGGAAAGTTCTGTTTTTACTCCAGATGCAGTGGGAAATATGAATAATAGTGGGGAGGGCTTTACAGTCTAAAGAAATATTTTTAACAATTGTGAGAGTAACTGGCCATGAAGGGGAAGTTCATACCTATGAAACTGTCACCATAAATCATTCCATAAAAATAACACTTGCCTAAAAATGTTTTACGTCATTTTTTTTTAGCTGTAGAGCTCTTATGTCATCTCTGCTCTCAGCTGCAACTCCTCTTATGCATTAGCTAAGGCAACCTCAGGATGGGGAATGGAAGGGTGGAATAGACTCAGGATGTGAGGGTTGGTAGAAACAAAAGGCTCAGCTGATAGCAGCTATTCCAGATCAGAGAGGGTCTGTATTGCTGTTCTTGAGTATGAGCTGGGATACTCCCAGAGTTCCTGGCCTCAATCTTGATTCTTCTACCCTGGGGTGTAGCGTGCGAATGTAAGAAGCATCAGCAACAGCCATTGGGTGCTATACACCTCGAAACAGCATGGGAGCACAGGATAGCCCCATATTTCTTAACAGGGAGCTTTGAGAAAGTGTCTGGAATTGTTCCAGCCGTCAAAGTTTTTGTTCTGGTGATATATGTTTTGAATGGTGCTATTACAGAATGCATGGTGTTTACTGCCTTCTGGTAAGTGGTGAGGACAGTTAGAGACATTAAAGAACTGTGTACCTGGCCCCTCCCCTGACTTCTATGGAGTTTCCTTGTACTTACACTATATCCAGGAAAAAGCCTTTGTGGTTTGATAGAAAGAAGACCTCATAATAGGTGTTAAGTTGAATTGTAGGGGAAAAATTAAAAGCCACACACATTGCAAATCTGACATTACAGTGTTAGTTATGACACTGATTACATAGTTCAAAAACACTTGCAAGTGGGAAGTTAAGATTTCTGTTCGGCTTTCTGCACATTGCCTCTATGTGATTCCTTATAATTAGGATTTGCTTCGAATTCTCAACCTGAGGATTTGACCCTGAGCAAATATTTCCAAGAATTAAAAAGTATTGGAGAACAATGCGAAGAGCAGAAAGTTGTGACAGAATCAGGGGACTGAAATTTTGGCTCCATCTCAGGGGATATTACATATGTCTTTAAAAATAATTTAAAATCATTCCCATTTTCTAGGTAGTCCAGAACCTGAAGCATGTGGAATCTTAGGGAGACCAGCTTGCACTACATAGTGAGGTTTCATCTCTGAAAACAGGACAAAAAAAAAGCGTTGAATTGAACAAAACAGTAGGTAGAAGATTTATGTTTGAAAATATTCAATGTATTTTTATCCCTTCTTTTTTTGTTTTTGTTTTTGTTTTAATTTCTTTAAATAAAAAAAAAAACAGAAAATATTTAGTGTAGGATGCTGCTTCTTTTATATCAAAGACAGATTTTCACTTCTGTTTGTTTGGCTGTAGATTTGTGTGGCATGATTTTTTTTTCATTTTTAAAAGTCTCTCAGACAGAACATTTGTCCTTTTATTACGTCTTTATTTCTCTTAAGGTTATATTTTGCAGACCATGATATTTTTAACTAATGTTAAGAAAATTCAACACAATATATTTTCAGAAAAGTTTTAAGTAAAATATTCAGAATAGCTGTGTATAAGCAAGTATTACACAGCAGATCTCTCTTATTCATTTGTTTATGTGAAACTTTCTACTTTTTGACCAGTATTTTATCACTGGCGATTTTGCCTAGCACACAGTCACTACTCTGCTAATTCTGAGCTTCTGCAGGTTTAGCTGATTACAATCACCCAGTGTCTCCCCTCCTGTGAGTGGCTTATATCAGTGATGATAACACTCCCAAGGTTTGTGCATGTTATTGCACATGGCGCACGGCACACACACCATTCCCTTATCTAATGCATTTCTTTATCCATTCATCCGTGACTCACATGTACTTTGTTACCACATCGTGACTACCTCAAACAGTGTGCAACAAACAAAAGCAAGTAAATATATTTTTACAGTCCCCATTTCCACTGTTTTGGGCAAACATAAAAAGGTTTCTCATTCCTCACCTTATCAACACATGCTTAGTCTTTTTTTTTTTTCCATATTAGTCATCCTGCCCTTCCTGTGCACAGCCAATGTAGGCAGAGAGAACCAGCAGATCAGCCTCCACCTCTGGATGCTACCACCAAAAGGCTCGTTCCTGCAGGCAGCTGGTAGGAGCAGGGACACCCAACCAGGTAAGCTCCGTGCACCTGTAGGCTCCCATTGGAGGCGCTTGGTACCTTTGGGCAGCCATCACCCACCAGGAGAATCAGAGAAACACATCCCCGTATGCCTGCCATCATTGCAGGAGTCCAATGTAGACACACAGGCTGAGAGAAACAGCCCCACCTCCACAAACTCCTGATCATCAGAGAAGCCCCTGCCTAGCTTCACAGGTCTGGTGAAGCCCTGCCCATGCCCTGCTACCTCCCAGGTATGTAGAATAGCCCAGGCACCTGTCCTAGTCCCCTACACTGTGAAGGAGAAGCCAACTTGGGAAGTGCCTGGGACCCCACGTCCAGCTTTTGAGAAGGAAGCAGAAGAATGTCAAGAGGAAGGAGCTAAAGGCATCTCAGAACTCCAGCCCACACAGAGCAAGTCTGGGAGATAAACTCGTGGAAGAAAATGAGGCCACACACCTGAAACCTCTGAGAGCATACCAAATGACGTAATGTAACAACTTTGTGAGATTGCAAAAGCAATCACATCAGAAATAATGTCTCATGTAAAAGAAGAAATCAGAAACATAATGAAAGAATTGCTTAGCATATCCAAAGAAGACATAGATTAAAAAAAAGAGGAGCATAAGAAACTAGTGGAAACCCTAAATGAATGTAGAGAAGAATTACAATGCATGAAACAGATTCTTTCAAAGAGAGATCCAGGAAATTAAAAAATCAATAAAAGGTGGCAAAACCACTTGAAAGAGACTGAAGATAGGCTTTCAGACCTTGAAGATAGAACTGTAGCTAGCAATTGTGAAAAGAACAATCTCTGAAAAACAAGGAATCGGGAAATAACAATTCAACAGCTGCAAGATGATGCAAAGAAGCGTAATTTGTGACAAGAGTCAGTGAAGAAGCAGGGGTCAACACAATTGAAATTAAAAGGCTATTTACAGATGTAATAGCAGAAAACTTCCAAACATGGGGAATGGATCTGACATACATATAAGCGAGGCATGTAGGACTCCAACTAGCCATAACCAAAGTAAATCTATATCCAGATATGTAATAATCAAGACCTCAGAAATTCAGCACAAGAACAGAATATTAAAAGCCACTAGAGAAATGAAACAGATCATCTATACAGGAACCAATCAGAATCACAGCAGACTTATCAACACAAACCATCAAGTCAAGAAGAGTTTGGAGTGAAGTGTTTCAAATACTAAAAGAAAACAGATTATCTTTCAAAATTGATGGATGTGATTTGATTGATGATAACCATGATTGGTTTTCTATTATATTGCTTTGAAGTTTTATAAGACTTTCTTAAATTTGTTTAACTGATTTTATTCAGTTTTGTTTTGTTTGATTTTATGATGTGTGATGGTATGAACAGTTATATTGTAAAAAATGAGACATTATAGTTGGCACTGTTGATTTCCTATCATCTTATTTTAAAGTGTATCCAAATTTTTTCCTTTGTTTTGATTGGGTCTATTCTGTTGTGTTTTACTTGATTTTATTATGTGTGATAGTATGGAAAGGTTTTTTGAAGAAAATGAAATATTATAGTAGCCATTGTTTATTTCTTGTTATCCGGTTTTGATTGCTTTCATTCTTTTGATTGTTTTTTAACTATTCTATTATGTTTGATATTATTGTATGTGAAGGTATAGTCTACTATTTTGAAGAAAACAAGAGACATCATGGTAGCCACTGTTGATATCCTGTTGATTTGTTGTGAAGTACTGTGTTGTTTGCACTTTTTTGTTCTGATTTGCTTTGCTGTTTTATTTTGTTTCTTTTGTTTCATTCTCTGTAAAATAAACAAAGCACAATAATCACCCTAACATATTTAAGATGATATTTTATTCTCATCTCTGTTTTCTGTGATGATTAGCAATGTTGAGAACTTTGCCCATTATTTTGGTGTCTTCTTTGGGGAAATGTCTGGTCGAGTTTTTTTCCCATTTTAAAATCAGGGTATTTTAGCTGGGATTAGTGGCCCATGCCTGTAACCCCAGAATGGTGGGAAACCTGAAATACAAGGATTGTAAATTTGTGTCCAGTTTATGCAGTTCAGCAATTTAGCAATTTAGTGAGACCTGTCTCAAATTAAAAATAGAAAAGGGCTGGGGAACCTCTGTGGGAAGGCCTGGTTTCAATTCCCACTTACCATAAGGAAAAAAAAAAAAAAAAAAAACCCAAACCCAAAATCAAACAAAAACAGGCTTTTGGTTTTTGCTATTGAGTTGTGGGAGTATTTCTGTATTTTGGACATTGGTCTCTTGTTGGATACGATGTGCCAGTGTTTTCTCTCATGGCATGGGAACATATCTGTTCTCTGATGATTGTTTCCTTAGCTTTCAAAAAACCCTTTTTGACTTAGTCTCATTTTCTTCTTTTGCTTTTGTTGCCTGACTTTTCATGTCTTATTTAGGAATTTGTCACTGACAAAAGCAATGGCAAATAGTTTTTTCTTGTGTTTTTTCCAAGGAGCTTTAGTGTTAAGTCTGATATTTAAGACTTAGTATATTTTGAGTTGAATTTTATGTATATAAGCTAAAAATCTGATGTCATCATGGTGGAAGTAGATACTTACTTTTCTTAAGACTGCTTTTTAAAGAAACTGTGCTTTCCTATTGTTTTCATCACACCCTTGACAAAGACCAGTGGAGGCTACAGGCATGGACTAGCTTTACGGTACTCTACTGTGCTCCACTGGTTTATGGCTTGCTGTAGTGACACTGCCTCATTGTTTAGTTACTGTAGCTGGGTAACCCATTCTGAAAGCTTCAGCTTTACTCTTCTATCTCAAGGTTGTCATAGCCACTTGTGGGTATTTGTGATCCATATAAATTTTTTTTTGTCTTTTTCATTTTTTATCGGTACCAGGGATCGAACTCACGACTGCCTGCTTACAAGGCAGGCGCTTATGCCGCTGAGCTAAATCCCCAGCCCCTGATTCCATATAAATTTTAGGAATTAAATTTTATATTTTTTTTCTATTTCTGTAAACACGTCATTGAGACTTTTGTTGAGATTGCATTGACTCTGTAAATTGCTTTGGGAATAAAGGACATATTTTCACCTCCAGTTCTTCTAGTACATGAACAGAAGATGTCTTTCCATGTATTTGTATCTTTAATTTTTTTCATTAATGTTTTATGACATTCAGAATGCAATTCTTTCATCTCTTAATTCAAATTTAAGTACTATATTTTAAAGTGTTTAAGGACATTGGAAATACTATTTTTTCCTAACTTTCACTTTGCATAATTCTTTGTTACTACACAGAAATAAAATTCAGTTCTCTATATTGATTTGAATTGTGCAGATTAATTTATTAATTCTAAGAATATTTAAGGCTTTAAAGTGATTTGTTTTATAAATAAGATTATTTCATACACAATGAGACAAAGATTTATTTTGGTTTCTTTTTGGAGATGTCTTTAATCACTTGCCTCTTTTATCTGAGATCTTTCCACTCTACATGTTTGTAGTATAAAATTATTATGCTTCTCTTGGGGAGCTGGTGCATGTAACACAGCGTAATTATTCCTTTTATCTTCTGACTCTCCTTTTATCTCTTGGTCACTTTCTGTTTTGCAAAGGAGTTTTCTCTATATATCCTATTTTCCATATTTTATTTTACTTCTTATATATACTTCATGTATTTCATATAAGAGACACAATTTGATATTTAAGCTTGTGTGTTTGGTTTACCTCACTTAAAATTATGGTCTCAAGATGTGTCCATTTTCCTATAATTGACTCAAGTTTATTCTTCTTTATGGTAGAGTAGTGATCATGGATTCTAATTCTTTGATAAATGGGTCATTCATGCTTTGAATTGTTTTGCTTAACTTGTAGATTTTTATTTGTATTCAAGATCACTGATTAGCATATCTTGAGATTTATTATTTATTTAGCTACCTTTGTTTGTATTGCTTCATCAGAGAAGTGTGTATTCATCTCAGCTGCCCATTTCTGGATTGAGTCCTTAAATATGAGAGGAATAATTTTTAAAAAATTCTTTATATGTTTGCAATAGTAATTCTTTGTATGAAGAACAACTAGCAAATATTTTCTCCCAACAGTTACTCTGTTGGTCATTTCTCTCATTGTGCAAAAGATTTTTAAGAAGATGGGATCCCAGTTGTTCATAGTTTGTGATTGTTCCTGTGTAGTTGATGTTGCTCATAAAGTCTTTGCCTACACCAATGTCTTTATAAGAGTTTTACCTACTCTATCTTTGAGTAGATTTATTGTTCTAATATTTAGATCTTTGATCCATTCCAAATTCAGTTTAGTGCATAGTGAAAAATATGAATCCAACATTAAGCTTTGGCATGTACAGAGCTAATTTTTCCAGCACCATTTACTAAAGAGGTTATCTTTCATCCAGTGACTGTGTTTGGCATCTTTGTCAAAGATAAGGTGGCTTAGTGTGCCTGCAGTTGTTTCTGCATCTTCGTATCTGTCATTGATCATTGGGCCTGTTTTTATTATTATTATTATTATTTATTTTTCGGCCAGTACCAGGCTGTTTTTTTTTAATCACTTGAGCTTTATAGTATATTTTCACGTCAGGGATTGTGATGCCACCTGTGTTGTCTTTGTTGCTCAGGATTGCCTTTGCTATTCTAGGTCTCTTCTGGTTCCAGATGAATTTTATGAATGTCTTCTCTAATTCTGTGAGATACGCTGTTAGAAATTTGAATGGGCTTATATTGATTCCGTATAACAGTTTTGGAAGTATGACCATTTTCACTACATTGTTACTTCCTACAAAAAAGCATAGGATGTCTCTCTATTTTCTAATATCTCCTTCAAGCTCTTTTTTCAGATTACTGTAGTTTTCAGTGTAAGGGTCTTTTACATCCCTCATTAAATTTATTCCTTGGCATTTCATTTCTTGGATGCATTGTAAAAGGTATTGTTTCCCTGACTTTTCTCTCAATGAGGTTATTATTCATCTGCAGGAAGGCCATTGATAAATTTTGAGTGTTGACTTTGTAACTAGCTACATTACTTAATTTGATTATTAAATCTAGAAGTATTTTGGTGGAGTTTTTGGGGTCTTCTAAGTACAATATCATAACATCTACAAACAATGATAATTTAATTTCTTCCTTTCCTATTTATTAGTTTTATTTCTTTCTGTTGTTTAATTTCACTGGATAAAATCTCCAGAAGTATGTTGAATAAGAGCAGAGACAATGAACATCCTTGTCTTGTTCCTGATTTTAGGGTGAAAACTTTCTACTACTGACCATTTAGTATGATGGAGGCTAATCAGCCATTCTGTTTTATCTCACAAAGGCTGAGACAAAATACACAGAGTTTATCTGAAGCAGCATTTAATTAAAGTTGCTTTTGCAGAATTCCAAGCAGAATCATAAAAGCAACATGTAGTATTAATCAAAATCCTGTCTCCTGTAACCCATGTCACAGGTATGTGAGAAATCTCAGAGCGAAGACAATTAGTATACACTGTTTTATGCACTGTAGCTCACATGAGGAGTTTGAACTCACATGCTACTCTTTGGTTTATCAAAGAGAGACCAAAGGTCCCACTATTATTCCCAAAAGAGAGATATTCTGTGTTCTATATTCCCAGACGGGAAGGGAATTTTAATTCTATTATTCAGTTAGTGTGAAACTACTTTGGCATTACACTACTTATTGTTAAGATACACTGGCATTTTTTCTGGGCATTTGAAACTTATTTTTGTATTGGGGAAAGATTCTGTGTAATAGAGACAGAGGGATCCTGAGTGAGTGACCCCATTTGCAAGCTCTACATGCATTCATGGACTATCCCAGCGCCGCTCAGACATGATGAGAAATGTATTTGTACCCATGCATGGGGATTGACTTGGAACAAACATTTCATAAATTGTTCTTAGTAAAGTGCTTGAGTTTGTTTTTAACAGTTCCCACTGGAGGCATTTTCTATATTTTATTTATCACTATTCTGAATCCACAAGATGGCAGCATCTTGTCAGGCACCCTGAGGACAGTTTCAACTGCTTCTTTGATACTCTGTGTGTGTGTGTGTGTGTGTGTGTGTGTGTGTGTGTGTGTGTGTATGAGACAGAAAGAAAGAAAGGAAGAAAGAGAACAAGGGAGAGAGAGAATGAGATAGAAGGGATGAGACAAAGACACACACACACACCAAAAGACAGAGAGACGGAGACAGAGAGAGAGAGAGACAGAGAGACAGAGAGACAGAGAGAAGAGATCAGAGGAGGGGTCTAGTGTAGCTGGATGACTAAAGAAATGCCTTCCAACAGACACTTATTTTATATTGTTTGTTTCCTACAGCAAAAGAATCAGAAGTATTTGAAGAAGCTTTATAGAGTGTAAAATCTGAATCCTTAGTGAACAAGAGCAGAATGATGGGATCCTTAAGTGTTTTCCTAGTTATCCTGTGGCTTCAGTTCATCGGTGAGTAGGGTTATTTTTTGGGGATCTTAAAACACAATATGTAAAATTGTTGTATGCACCAGGACTGTGGGATGAATATGAATGTTATTAATCCTCTAAAAAAAGAGACTGGGAAAACACTGAAAAGATAAATTTTATCCTGGAGAGTAAGCACCCACTCCCCAACCGATCTTTTTTGCCTGTTGCACAGGGGTGAGCAGCCAGCAGAAGGAGGTAGAGCAGAGTCCTGAGACCCTCAGTGTTCCAGAGGGAGACACCACCTTTCTCAACTGCACTTACAAGGACCGCAGTTCTAACAACTTCAGGTGGTACCGACAGTACCCTGGGAAAAGCCCTGAGCTGCTGATATCCATATACTCCGATGGTGACCAAGAAGAAGGAAGATTCAAAGCACAGCTCAACAGAGCCAGAAGACATGTTTCCCTGCACATTGGAGCCTCCCTGTCCCTTGACTCAGCCACCTACTTCTGCACAGTGAGCACACAGTGCTCCCCAGGCACCTGCAGCCTGCACTCAAACCCAGCCAAGCCTGAGGGCAGAGAAGTCCTCTTCCTGCTCCAGAAGCACTGGGAATGATGAGCAATAGTGTGGGGTTACCTGTGGTTGAGAGGAAACTATTTTAATAATTCTATGAATACTCACCTTTAAAGGGAAAGTGTAGGAAAATATTAGTCTGGTTCAGATAGTTTTTATTTTTCTATTGTTATTCTAAAACTTTTTATGATGTGTGCACAAACAGCTACACATATTTAATGTGTATCTTTAGAAGACTGAAGCTAAGCAGACAGATATGAAATTGTCATCGTGTAGATAGAACCATCCCCCTACAAGTTTCACTCTTCTTTCTTGTTTTAAACTGACATGTGATAGTTATTCAGAATGGTGTACTTAGGGCATGCATCTTTATATGGACTCTAGCTTTACATTCACAAAAAGGGTTACTGGGTGATAGTTTTTATATATGATGGAAAATGTTTTAATATGACAGATATTTGCTTATAGGTAATACACTTTTTTTCTGCTCAGTTTCTGTACCAGTTTGATACACTCCCTTTGGAATACATTGACAGAGCAGAAATCTAAAGAGAAGAAAGAAGTCTTAGAAAAACAATTTTCACAGATTTTAAGCCGTAAATTCTTTGAGTTACAGATCTCCCACTTCATCTCCACTCTCAGCTGCACCCTCAGCTGTGGGTTATCAAGGAGACCTCCGGTGGGCAGAAGGAAGGGTCGTAGAGTCAGATGGTGAGAACTGGTGAAAACTGAAATGCTCAGGAGTCTTTTTAGAGATTTACAATTAGAGAGGCTCCAGGGTCCTGCTCTTGAGTCCAGCTGAGCAGGTCCCAGAGTTTCTGGCCTGAGTCTTGATTCCTGGCCCTGGTGTGTCTCATGGAGAACATCATCCATGGCCACACGGAGACCCACACTCCAGGAGAGCATGAGGGCACAGAGTGACTCCAGGCCTGTTAGAATCTCTGAGAATGTGTCTGGAGTAGCTCTAGATACCAAAGGATTTTGTTCTGTTGACTGTTCTGTTGTCAGAAATCTGAAACTGAAAGAATTTACGACTTAAAATTTTTTGAAAATTGTTTTTCCTAACTGCTTAGAGGAGCTAACATAGACCATGTGGTACAGAGAAAATTCTAGAAAATGTTCATGAAGAAAGCTGGAGATGCTGAGGCCATATGTTTGTCACTTAACCTTGCCCCTCTGACTTTTGGGCAATATGGATTTGGACTCTTGCTTCTATGAGCTCAGGAAAAAATGTTTGTTGCTTGATGCAAATAAGACATTATAAAAGATATTAAATTGAGTGATAGGAAATAAAAATAAAGCCGTGGTGACTGTGAAGCCGGTGTGGAGGTCTGTTAGTCATGATGCTGTCTGTGTAGTCCATTTTTCCAAAAATATGGAACTGGAAAATTAAGATTTAGTGGTTCCGAGAAAGCTCCAGACTGACCTCCACAATGATTGCACCAGTCTACACTCCCACCAACAGTGCAGGAGAGTTCCTTTTTCCCCACAGCCTCTCCAGCATTTGTTGTTGTTGGTTTTCTTGATCCTGGCCATTCTTTCAGGAGTGAGATGGTATCTCAGTGTGGTTTTAATTTGCATTTCTCTAATGACCAATGATGATGAACATTTTTTCATGTATTTATTTGCCATTTGCATTTCTTCATCTGAGAAGTGTGTATTCATCTCAGATGCCCATTTTTGGATTGAATCTTTGAATTTTGGGGGTCTGAGTTTTTTAATTCTTTATATGTTTTAGACAGAAATCCTTTGTCTGAGGGGCAGCTCACTAAGATTTTTCCCCAGTTTGTGGGTTTTCTTTTCACTATGCTGGGGATTTATTTTGATGTACAGAAACTTTTTAATAAGAGGTGATCCCATTTATTGACTCTGGGAAGTATTTCCTGTGCAGTTTGAATCCTGTTCATGAATTCTCTACCTACTCCTATGTCTTCAAGGTTTTTACCCAATTTGTCTTCCGATAGATTTAGTGATTCTGTTTTAATATTTAGATCTTTGATCCATTTAGATTTTATTTTAGTACACGGTGATAGGCATGGGTCTAGTTTTAGTTTTTGGCATATGGAGAGCCAGTTTTTTCAACACCATTTATTAAACAAACTGTCGTTCTTCCAGTGAACATGTTTGGCCCCTTTATCAAAGATAAGGTGGTTGAGTGTGTTTGTAGTTGTGTTTGTATCTTCTAATCTATTCCACTGATCTTCGGCTCTGTTTTGGTTCCAGTACCATGTTGATTTTACTACAGCTGCTTTGTAGTACAACTTCAAGTCAGGGATTGTGATGCCTCCTGCTTTGCCTTTGCTGCTTAGAACTGTCCTTGCTATTCTAGGTCTCTTCTCGCTCCAGATGAATTTTCAGAGTGATTTCTCGAGATTTATGAGTTTTTTTTTATCGGTATTTTTTATCGGGATTGCATTGAATCCATATAACAGTTTTGGGAGAATGGCCATTTTCACAATATTTATTCTTCCTATCTATGAGCAAGGGATGTCTTTCCATTTTCTGAGATCATCTTCAATTTCATTTTTCAGTGTATTACAATTTTCCCTGTATAGGTCTTTCACTTCTTTCATGAGAGTAATACCTAAATATTTTTTTTTTTTTTGGTTGCTAGTGTGAAGGGTATGGCTTCTCTTATTTCTCTCTTTGTGATTTTGTTGTTAGTGTATAGAAATGCTATTGATTTTTGAGTATTGATTTTTTATCCAGCCACATTCCTGGATTTGTTTATTATATCTAGGAGTCTTTCAATGGATTTTTGGGGGTCTTCTATGTAGAGTATCACGTCATCTGCAAATAATGATAATTTAACTTCTTTTCCTATCTTTACGTCTTTTATTTCTCTCTCTTGTCTATTGCTCTGGCTAGTATTTCCAGTACTATATTAAGTAGGAGTGGTGATAAGGGACATCCTTGTCTTGTGCCTGATTTTAAAGTAAAGGCCTTCCATTTTTGGCCATTTAGTATGATACTTGCTGTTGGTTTTTCCATAGATGGCCTTTATTATATTGAGGTAAAAACCATCTATTCCAATTTTCTGGAAGGTTCTTATCATAATGTTGGACCTTATCAAAAGCTCTTTCTGCATCTATAGAAGTGATCATGTGATTCTTACTTTTGGCTCTATTGATATGGTGAATTACATTTATTGATTTACATATGTTGAAAGATCCCTGCATGCCTGGGATGAATCCCACTTGGTCATGGTGTATGATCTTCTTGATGATTTGCTGCATCCTATTTGCCAATATTTTATTGAAAATTTTTGCATCTGTATTCATTAGGGAGATTGGTCTGTAGTTCTCTTTTTCAGTTGGGTCCTTCTCAGGTTTTGTTATTAGAGTAATATTTGCTTCTAGGAACGATTCAGGAAGGATAGCTTCCCTTCCAATTTCATTGAAGAGTTTGAGGAGTGTTGGTATTAGGTCTTCTTTGTATTTCATGTACAATTCTGCAGTGAATCTGCAGTGGGCCTGGCCTCTTCTTTTTAGATAAGGACTTAATTACATTTTCAATTTCATTAATAGAAATTGGGTTATTCAGCAGTTTTACATCTTCTTCCCCTAGCTTTGGTACTTCATATGCTTCTAGGAATCTATTTCCTCTGTGTTATCAAACCTTTGAAAGTAGAGGTTTTTGAAATAGGTGTTGATGATCTTCTGTATTTCTATTGGGTCTGTAGTGATTTCGCCTTTTTCATTCCTTATTGCATGAATTTGAGCTTTTTCTTCCCTTTTAAAAATAAGGTTGGCTAGGGGCTTATTGATTTTATTTATTCTTTCAAAGAACCAACTCTTTGATTCATTGATTGGCTATTGTATCCGAAGTTATACTCAAATAATTCAAGGAAATAGACGCTATGGTGACTACTATTATGTCAGGTTATCTGTTGGTGAAACACAATCATGCTTAAATTGTTCCGTTCTGACCTGTGTTGTTCTGTTACTATGTCCTCTTTTATCTCAATCCCCCCTTTTTTTTTCCTTTTTTAAAAATTAATTCATTTTTTCTTATTTTTTTTATTAAGGGAAAACTAAATTAAAAAATAGCGGGATATAGTAGAGTAACTTTTTTGTTTTCCTGTCAACCTGATTTGAACCCCCCGTATTGCTCTCCCCACCTTGTTCTGACTGATTTTACTATATTCTATTTTGCTTGATAGTATCAAGTTTGAGGGTATAGTTTGAGGGTATACTTTGAAAGCAATAAGATTTACTATGATTCCCATTATGGTTTGACTATTATCTTCTTTTGAAGTCTTGTAAGGTCTCCAATGTAGGTTTTATTGGTCTTGTTCTGTACTGGTTTGTTCAATTCTATTATACCTGATGATATAGGCAACTCTTTTTAAGATAGCAAGAGGCATAATGGTAACCATTTCTGATCAGCTGGCATTCTGTTTTTGAATGATGTACTATGTCCATCCTTCTGTTCTAAATGAATCTGTTTTGCTTTGTCACATTTTTTTTCTCTTCAGAAAAAAAAAGTTATAAGAACTGTGGTAGTAATAAAACCCCAAAAGTGTAATTGTTATTTTTAAAAAGGGAGGAAAAGAAAGTGGTCTAAAGGATATAACTGCATGTATATTTATGTGTGTAGGATAAAAAACCATATTACTGAGTTTTTGTTGGATCACTGAACAGAACTGTCTGCAATATCACTGTATGAATGTCCACTTTGTATGCTTTAATTTTGTAATTTCGACAACTGTTTTTAAGATGACAATATGTAATCTATTAACTAGTGATTTCTTACTGCATATTTTTTTTCTTGAAATTCCATATTGTTTGTATCCTTTTACTGCTTTGTTTTTTTTCTCTCTTTAAATTAAAAAAAAAAAGATTTAGTGGTTCAACCCAACCAGGGCCTACTTCAGATATTCAGTATAAAAATGTGAAGATTCTTAAATAAATATTTCCAAGTTCTTAAAACGACTTGAGCTTTGGTACATTGTAGTAGAAACTTGAAGGGAAGTGAAGAAGAACAGATGTTTGTGCTGGAGTCAAAGTATTTATCCTTTAGTTCCACTTTTCATAAGCTCATTTTAGCATAATGGTATTATGAAAAAAAACAAGGTGGTAATAACAGTTTCAACACGTGTTATGTTATTAATGTCATTTATTTATTTATTTTGAGACAAGGTCTCATACTGTAGTGTAGGATGACATGGAACTCATTATGTAGCCCAACTGGCCTCAAACTCACAGTAATCTCGTGCCTCAGCCTTCCCAGTGCTGAGATTACAGGCATGCTTCACCATACCTGCCAAGCCACTTGATCTTGGGCAATGCTAGTATACATATATTTGAGGATTGGTTTCACAGATAAATGAAGCAATACATTGGCATAGGTTTAGTTCCTTAAACAAGCTATAAAACTGAAATCCTTTTGCCCATGATATATCAAGGAAAACAGGTTGATAAAAGTCATGGCTAAGTGCAGATGTGATTCAGCAAGAATCTTGATTTGACCTGATTCTTGGGCACCCTGTGCGCCGCCCCACTGAGCTGGTCCTTCTAAACTTGAGGTAGGTTACAGATTGCTCACCTTTTGAACATTAGAATAACACACTGGAGTCTCTCTTGGGGAGAAGGTGTACAGCACAACAGTGACTAACACTGGAAGAAAACAGCTTTATAGAGAAGGTTGTCAGCCGAGAGTCACAAGTGGCCAACCCTCCCAGCATCTGGA